GCTGGATCAAATTCACACATAACAATATTAACCTTAAACGTAAATGTGCTAAATGCCCCAATCAAAAGACACAGACTGGCAAATTGGATAAAAGTCAAAACCCATTGGTGTGCTGTATCCAGGAAACCCATCTCATGTGCAAGGACACACATAGGCTCAAAATAAATGGATGGAGCAACATTTGCCAATCAAATGGAGACCAAAAAAAGGCAGGATTTGCAGTCCTAGTCTCTGATAAAACAGACTTTAAACCAACAAAGATCAAAAGAGACAAAGAAGGGCATTACATAATGGTAAAATGATCAATGCAACAAGAAGAGCTAACTATCCTAAATATATATGCACGCAATATAGGAGCACCCAGATACATAAAGCAAGTTCTTAAAGACCTACAAAGAGACTTAGACTCCCACACAATAATAATGGGAGACATTAATACTCCACTGTCAATATTAGACAGATCAATGAGACAGAAAATTAACAAGGATATCTAGGACTTGAACTCAGATCTGGACCAAGTAAACCTAATACACATCTACGTAACTCTCCACCCCAAATCCACAGAATATACAGTCTTCTCAGCACCACATCACACCTACTCTAAAACTGACCACATAATTGGAAGTAAATCACTCCTCAGCAAATGCAAAAGAACGAAAATCGTAACAGTTTCTCAGACCACAGTGCAATTAAATTAGAATTCTAGATTAAAAAACTAACTCAGAACCACACAACTTTATGGAACATGAACAACTGACTCTTGAATGTTGACTGGTAAACAATGAAACGAAGTCAGAAATAAAGATGTTCTTCGAAACCAACAAGAATGAACACAAAGTACCAGAATCTCTGGGACACACTTAAAGCAGTGTCTAGAGGAAAATTTATAGCAATAAATGCCCACATGAGAAGCAAGGAAAGATCTAAAATCAATACCCTATCATCAAAATTGAAAGAGCTAGAGGAATAAGATAAAAAACAAACAAACTCAAAAGCTAGCAGAAGACAAATAATAACTAAGATCAGAGCAGAACTGAAGGAGATAGAGACACAATTCAAAACATTAATAAATCCAGAAGCTGGTTTTTTGAAAAGAACAACAAAATAGACCACTAGCCAGATTAATAAAAAGGAAAAGAGAGAAGAATCAAATAGATGCAATAAAAAATGATACAGGGGATATCAACACCAATTCCACAGAAATACAAACTACCATCAGAGATTAATGCAAACAACTCTATGCACATAAACCAGGAAACCTGGAAGTAATATGCAAATTCCTGGACACTTGCAGCCTCCCAAGCCTAAACCAGGAAGAAGTCAAAACCCTGAATAGACCAATAACAAGGTCTGAAGTAGAGGCAGCAATTAATAGCCTACCAACCAAAACAAGCCCAAGTCCAGAAGGGTTCACAGCTGAATTCTACCAGACATACAAAGAGGAGCTGGTACCACTCCTTCTGAAACTATTCCAAACAATCCAAAAAGATGGAATCCTTCCCAAATCATTTTATGACACCAACATCATCCTGACACCAAAAATTGGCAGAGACTCAACAAAAGAGGAAAACTTCAGGCCAATATCCATGATGAACGTAGATGCAAAAATCTTCAATAAAATACTGGCAAACTGATTGCAACAGCACATCAAAAAGCTTATCTATTATGATCAAGTAGGCTTCATCCTGGGGATAAAAACTGAATCAACATACACAAGTCTATAAACGTAATTCACCACATAAACAGAACCTAAGACAAAAACCACATGATTATCTCAATAGATGCAGAGAAGGCCTTCGAAAAAACTTAACGGCCACGTATGCTAAAAACTCTCAATAGAAACTAGGCATAGCCGGAACGTATGTCAAAATAATAAAAGCTATTTACTACTATCCCACAGCCAGTATCATACTAAATGGGAAATCCCTTTGAAATCTGGCACTACACAAGGATGCCCTCTCTCCCCACCCCTATTCAATATAATATTGGAACTTCTAGCCAGGGCAATCAGGCAAGAAAAAGAAATAAAGAGTATTCGATTAGGAAAAGAGAAAGCCAAATTGTCTCTATTTGCAGATGACATGAGTGTATATTTAGGAGACCCCATCATCTCAGCCCTAAATTTCCTGAAACCGATAAGCAACTTCAGCAAAGTCTCAGGATACAAAATCAATGTGCAGAAATCACAAGCATTCCTATACGCCAATAATAGACTTAAAGAGAGCCAAATCAAGAACCAAATGCCATTCACAATTGCTACAAAGAGAATAAAATAACTAGGAATACAACTAACAAAGTATGTAAAGGACCTCTTCAAGGAGAACTACAAACCACTGCTCAACGAAATAAGAGAGGACACAAACATACGGAAAAAACATTCCATGCTCATGGTTAGGAAGAATCAATATCATGAAAATGGCCACACTGTCCAAGGTAATTTACAGATTCAATGCTATCCCCATCAAGCTACCTATGACCCTCTTGACAGAACTGGAAAAAAACACCTTAAACTTCATGAACCAAAAGACAGTCCACATAGCCAAGGCAATTCTAAGCAAAAAGAATAAAGCTGGAGGCATCATGCTACCTGACTTCAAACTATACTATAAGGCTACAGTAATCAAAACAGCATGGTACTGGTACCAAAACAGAGATATAAACCTATAGAACAGAACAGAGGCCTCGGAGGCAATGCCACACATCTACAACCATCTGATCTTTGACAAACCTGACAAAAACAAGCAATGGGGAAAGGATTCCCTGTTTAATAAATGGTGTTGGGGAAACTGGCTAGCCATATGCAGAAAGCAGAAACTGGACCCCTTCCTGACACCTTGCACTAAAATTAACTCCAGATGAGTTAAAGACTTAAACATAAGACCTAACACCATAAACACCCTAGAAGAAAACCTAGGCACAACCATTCAGGACATAGGCATAGGCAAGGACTTCATGACTAAAACACCAAAAGCACTGGCAACAAAAGCCAAAATAAACAAACAAGATCTAATTAAAGTCCACAGCTTCTGCATAGCAAAAGAAACAATCATTAGAGTGAACCAGCAACCAACAAAACGGAAAAAAAATTTTTTGCAATCTACCCATCTGACAAAGGGCTGATATCCAGAATCTACAAAGAACTGAAAAAGATTTACAAGAAAAAAACAAACAAACCCATTCAAAAGTGGGTGAAGGATATAAGCAGACACTTTTCAAAAGAAGACATATATGAGGCCAAAAAACATAGGAAAAAATGCTCATCATCACTGGTCATTAGGGAAATGCAAATCAAAACCACTTTGAAATACCATCTCATACCAGTTAGAATGGCAATCATCAAAAAATCTGGAGACAACAGATGCTGGAGAGGATGTGGAGAAATAGTAAGATTTTTATACCATTGGTGGGAGTTTAAATTAGTTCAACCATTGTGGAAGACAGTGTGGCCATTTCTTAAGGACCTAGAAATAGGAATTCCATTTGACCCAGCAATCCTATTACTTAGTATATATCCAAAGGATTATAAATTGTTCTATTATAAAGACATAGGCATACATATGTTCATCGTAGCACTGTTTACAATAGCAAACACCGGGAACCAACCCAAATGCCCACTGATGATAGACTGGACAAGGAAAATGTGGCACGTATACACCATGGAATACTATGCAGCCATAAAAAACGATGAGTTCGTGTCCTTTGTAGGGACATGGATGAACCTGGAAACCAACATTCTCAGCAAACTGACACAAGAACAGAAAATCAAACACTGCATGTTCTCACTCATAGGTGGGTGTTGAACAATGAGAACAAATAGACATAGGGAGGGGAGTATCACACACCAGGGTCTGTTACGGGGGGACTAGGGGAGGGACAGTGGGGATTAGGGAGTTGGGGAGGAATAACATGGGGAGAAATGCCAGATATAGGTGACGGGGATGGATGCAGCAAACCACATTGCCATGTGCGTACCTATGCAATAATCCTGCATGTTCTGCCCATGTACCCCAGAACCTAAAGTGCAATAAAAAATATATATAAAGGTCACTACCCCTACCAAAATCTTAACATCAGCATCTGAGACTTTAAACAGAGGCCCCAATGAACCTGTGTCTAGACTCCCGACACAAAGAAAGTAAGAGGTAATAAACTTGCTTTGTTTTAAGCCACTGATTTTTTGGTAATTTGTTACACAGCAATAGAAAACTAATACATCATGCTTATGAATCTTGCCAATATCAAACATTTGTTTTCTTAAATGCTACACTGCCTTTTCCATATAATGTAGCAAACAAGTTTCAATTTTTATGAAATCTGAACATTTCATATTTGATATAAAAGCCTTTTATCTCTGAGTTTATTTGGTTAGATTCAAAATATATCTGAATGAGAAACTGTATTCAAAGTATATTTCCTTAGCTTTTTGAATAGTATTTTTAAAACAACATTTTAGAAAATATTTACATTACGTGCTTAGAAAAAGGTTGCGTATTTACCATACTTAGTTCTCTTTTCAATATTTATGTTAATCACTAAAGTATATCAAAAATATATCACATTGTGAAAGCATTTCCACTCACTGGGTGAACATTTTCAAACTATGTAATATGGGGAGAAAGAAGAGATATACCAATTTCACAATTAAAAAAAAGTTACATAAGATTAGGCAATAAAATTTCCAACACAACAATCTGTTTACAGAGTTACCTGTTATCTAGATGGGAGCAAATTTGGGAAGAGTAGTTTAGTGAGATCACTCATCCAAGTTAGGGGGCAAAATAAGCTGCCATTATGTTTCAGAATATAACAATTAACATTTTCTTCTGTGCTTTTGTCAAACAGGAATTTGTAATTAAGTAAATTTATACATAAACACTCAGGATATATGTTCATATTACAGTTGCTTTATTGTACAATTCCAAATAAAGTTTGGTCTTTTAAAAAGAAATACACTTAAAAAAAAAAAAAAAAAGGAGGAAATCAACTTTAAGATAGCCTACCTTCCACATTCAAAGTTCCCATTTTAGATTCCAAGAAATCAAATAATGTGCTTGGTGCTGATGGCCTTGCATTTCCCAGATCCTCTTCATCTTCAGATCTTATTCGCCCCCTGCCTTTTCCTCTACCTTTAGATGTAAAAGCAAGACATATGTACTGTGTAAGCAGAAACAAAAGGAGAATACATACTAATACACAAAAACCATTTTAAATAGGGATTTTAATTTCTTTTCATATTTTTGTATAGTCTACATCTTTATAAAAACGTTTTTAAGTAATTAAGTAGAACATTTAGTCCCCTAAATAAACGATCTATACAGAAGTTTGATTTTGTTCATATAAACTATCTTTTAAGGAAAAATTATAAATTTATTCTTTAACCACAGATATTCATAAAATATAGGGCTGGGACTTGAAATACCACATAACACATTGATCATGTAATGATTGAATAATTACACCAATTAATGTATTATTTTTGTTAATTTGTAAAAGCTTAGTCATTTACGCAGGTGGCAGAGTTGTTGAAATAATAGAACCAGTCACATATTTTCTCCATTACTCATAACAACCTTGTTAAATACGGCCTTGTTAGACACATTTTGTTTTTGTTTTTTTGTTGTTGTCAGACCCGTAAAGATGAAGACAATGAGACTGACACTCAAAATATCTCTATGGTTCCCAAACTGGTGTTCCTTCCACTTAACAAAACATTAAATAAAGTTACAGTCCTTACAGCTGTAACAGCCTCTGTCAATAACATATATTCCTCTGAAAAGCAAACAACATGATCTGGCACACTGCTTAATAAGTTATACCTCTCAGAGGAGGACCAATAACAGGTTTCTGTTTATTGCTGTTAAGAAGTACGTTCAATGCTGCTTCTAAGTTGTTGCCATTATCCATAAGAGCTTGCCTCGATGCATCCTTACTGAAGCCCATTTCCGTTATGTGCCTCAGAGCTTTCTCATCAACCTGCAAGGAATAAAGAGAAAAGCTGGCTGATAGCCCACAGATAAGGCAAGGCATAAAATTTTAACTATTTACTGTCTTTTAACTAAAAATTACATCTCATACTTTTGTAAAAGTATCATTCTAATACAACATTCACTTGCTGATTTTTTACAAGAGGCAAGGAAGAATCTGTATAATATGTGGGATTGTGCCTTGAGTATTCTCTGACCTAGTACCACTTCAAAAGCCACACACACAAAAACAATTTTATGGTATGTTAGAGTATGGCCTTTGAAAATAATATAGATGGTGAGGAGAAAACTACCTAATTAAAATTTTTCATGGTAAAAACGTAAATTTTTGATACTTCTCTATACTAGAAGGGAAATGTAATTCATATAGCACCTCTCCAAAAATGTAAAGTATTGAAGCTAACAAAATGATACCCCCTCAGAAGCTTTTTTTTTACTATTACTTGAGAATTCTATTCTATATTCATTAGCAGTACTATTTATGATGCTTTGACAGCTATACCCCAATAGGAAAATCTACTTTACAAATGCCAGAATCCAAATCTCCTTTAAAAATCTAGACCTCAATAGAATTCAAGGACCACCTAAGCAGTATAAACATATCCTGCAAAGAAATTTATTGAGCCAAACCTAGCAGAGAAAAACATTTCTTTAACTTTTATACTCTAGTAGTTACATAAGTAGGTTTTTAGTTAGCCTACACATAGCATGCATGTGGCAGACACACAATAAGATGTCCGTGCACTCTAAAAAAAGTACAGTACATTTTTCCAACCCCCGTGTCACAGAATTCTTCTAAACACAGTAGCTACTATCAACAGATAAGAGTTGACATGAGAGAAAATCTACTTACCATCCCTGCTGTATACATGCTACAGTAAGTGTTAAAACACCTATAATTTATCTTTCTTATTCAAAAACTAATGTGAATGTAAAAAATAATTAAATCTTTCCTTCTCCAAATTATCTCCCAAATAAATATGTCATTAAGAATATTGTCCCACACATAGCTTCACCAAAAAATATTTTAAATGAGCCATTTATAACCCTTAAAGAGGTCTAATCTGTTGAACTCATCTAGTGAAATTTTAATTTCAGCTATTAGCTCCAGAATACATACTTGGTTTCTTTTGATAAATTTGTCTCTTTTTTGATATTCATTATTGTTCATACATTGTTTTCCTGATTTCTTTAGTTCTTTGTCAATGGTTTCTCTCAGATCTTTGAACATATGTAAGACAGTTCACCTAAAGTCTTTGTCTAATTAAGTCAAACGACTGGGCTATTTCAGGAATGGTTTCTATGGATTTCTCTTTTTCTTGTGAATGGGCTAAACCTTCCTGTTTCTTTGTAGGCTTTATAATTTTTGGTTGGGAACTACTGGACATTTTGAATCCTGTAATTAGGCAACTGAAAGTCAGATTATGCTTCCTCCCCAAGGATCACTTCTGTTACTTGATGAAGGTTACAGTCATCAACTTGCTTAATGACTTTTTAAAACTTTTTTCCCACAAGAAATACATTCCTTGAGATTGTGTGACCACTGAAGTCTCTGTTCCATCATCTCCACGGTCAGCCAGTGACTACCCTTCCTTCATCATTTACTTACCCTGGATGCCACAAGTATTTGACTAGGATCCAGAGTTCTAAAATACTTGCTTTGGACAGTGCTTGCCAGCTCAACAGTTGCTTCAGTAGAGGGGCAAATTCCTTGAACTTCCTTCTCTATCATCTTTATGATGTCATTTCTTTCATATGTTTTCAATCTCACAACACACTCCAATCTGCTAATGTTCTCTTGTGTTCTTTGGCAAGACATCTCCAGAGAAGTGTTCTTCAATTCACTCAAGTTTGAGAGATTCTTAAGTTAGGGACCATATGTTCAGCACACTGTTTCCACTCTGTCTTGCTATTTAAATCTTGATTTTTTATTTTATTTTTAAGAATGAGATGGCCTTATATTCAAGGAATAGGTAGCCTGCTCTTAAGGATAAACTCATTCCCCTTGATCAGTGATTGGTTTAGGAAGTTCTAGTAAAGAAGATATAAATGGAAACCAGCTGAAGATTTCAGAAAAGATTTTCTTCTCTGATAAAATAGACCTTCAACCAGATAAATAGTCCCCTTTCTTTCCTGTCTTGAAATTTTACGTTAAGATTTACCACATGGAGAATCCTAATGATACAGGAGTTAAGAAGAAATTAGGCAGTTAATGAGGGTACAGAAGTCCTCGGTCAGGTTTCCCTTTTAATGAAAAACAGCACCAATTTTCTTTTCTAACAAAGAGCAGCCTGTAAAACTGAGCTGCAGATATAGATGCTGCCAGTTGTGCCAATCATGTTCAAGATGGTTGCTTCATCATCCCTTCTCTTTGTCAGTTACATGTACAATAAGGAGCAGATGAGACGGCACCACCAGAAAGGAAAGTTCATTTGCATAGTAAGATTAGAGTGGGGTTGCCAGCCTTCCCCAAGGACTATGTAAACATCATACTGTATCAAACCAATCTGTGAGCCTTACATAAATCAGACATCCCCTCCTCAAGCCAGATTATAAAATTCTGAGAGAAAAAGAGCACCCTGCAGTGGTCGCTGAATATTATAGTCTGGCCCTCTCACTAGAGAAAAGCTGTTTTCCTTTCTCTTCCTTTTTCTCCTGCCTATTAAACTTCCACTTCTAAACTTCTCATATGTGTCTGTCTCCTAAGTTTTCCTGGCACAAGATAACAAACCGCAGGTTATCTACCCCAGACAATGTAGCCACTTCATACTGAAGACCTCATTCAGGATAATATTGAGAACCTCACTCAGGATACCAAGGTATAACATTCATCGAAATGGTGAGTAGAGAAATGGACTCCAACTCTGTTCTTTCATTTTGGGACTCTTGGCCTCCATTTTAGAACCAAATCAACAAACACTGTTCCCCCCCACCCCCCTTCAGTCATTTAAAAATAATTAGCATGGCTGCCAGCCATGCACCAAGACTTAGGGGACTGGCTTGCTGGGGAGAACATGGAGAATCCCTAGTACCCACAGGTTGCTGGGCATGTAAGCCATGTTTGAATCAGCTTCCTTTCATGGAAGATTTAGCTGTCACATGGGGCTGGAAGATATTCTGGAGCAACTGAGGATTTCTGGCTGAGGCTCACTCCTGGGTGCTATCCAAACGCTTCTGGACTGACCCCAGCTTCCAATCACCCAATGGGGCACTGGCAGCAGGATCTCCAAATTTTCTATTGTAATTTCCTCTTTTCTTGTCTATGACTGCCATATCTTCTATCCTCTCTGTGTATGCAATGTGCAGGAAGTTTTACAATTCAGGGAAATAATCTTGTTTGGGAAGATCAGGGAACGCCATAGTAAGTGGGGATATAGCTCAAGAGAAGGCAGTGTGATTTTCTAGGAACAGAAGGTCTCCCCCTCTCCCATAGTATTTCTCGCTGCTCTTGGTCTGGAGAGCACATGGCATTTCCAAGTCTCTCTCTGTCCTTGCTCTGGGAAGTACGTGGCATTTCCAGGTCTCTCTCTGCCCAGGGTCTGAAGAGCACATGGCATGTCAAGGTCACAAGGCCCTTGGGCTGTAGAGCACATGGCATTTCAAGGTCAACAGTGCCACCTAGTGGAACAGGGATTCTCTCCATGAGGCATATTCTCAGTCCTTTGCCAAAATACCCTTCCTAATTCTTTTCCCTTTTTGCACATCTCTACTAGAAATCAGGCTTTATGCTACTTCTGTGAACAGAAAAAAATTCTGCCTTCAATAACTAGGAGCAAAATATCCTCTGAAACCAAATTTTGGTCTTGATACTGTCCCATCAGCAAGAAAACGGTCACTCAATCCCTATATTCTTTTAAGGCATCTATTCTACCTCCAATTACAATAGTACTTAATTAATAAGGGGATTCTAAGTTCAAAGTTAACTGGAACCATTTTCTAAGGGTAAATGCTTTAGCACAGGCAATAATAGCAGGATACAGAGCTCAAACCAACACACGTCCTCCATTAAGGAGGGAAGTGTCAACAGTTGCCCAAATGTAACTGTCACACAGTCTCTCCTGAGGTCCTTTTTTGGGGGGGTGGGGAGCCAGGCAGGTCACCCAAGTCAAGGAAGTAAAAGGGAAATCACAAGCAGAGGACTAGAGTCATGTGGGTGAGCATGACTAATCCCACTTAGTTCCTCTGGTTCCATGGCTGGGGTCACGCCTGCAACTATGGGCAGCACATTCGACAAGCTGCTGGGACTCAGGAACCAGGGAGGAAAAACAGCAGTAGAGATGCCTTCACTGGCACCTCTCCATTGAGGGTCACACCAAAAAGAAGGAGACTAAAGAGATGCATTTAGTCTTTTTCTAGGTGGGTAACAGATCATCTTCAGCTTGAACTACTCTGGAGTGCATTCTGAAGCATAAGGACTCCTTCGACCCTAAAAATTTAAAGAAAAAATGGCTCACTTTCTTTTGCACAAGGGTATGGCCTTCTTACCAGACCTTTGCAGGTCTTACAAAATCAACTCAGCCTTTTTAATGGTCATATCAGGAAAGTCTATGGAGAATGATTCTCCAAAGTTAGAGAAGCAACTTCCAGGGGAACAATCTGAGGACTCCCTCACGTTCTCTTCTCATTACTGGACCTTAGGCAAATAAAGAGAGACTTAGGCTGATAATGACCCTGATAGGTATACAGAAGCTTTCCAAAATTTAACTCAGGTGTTGGACCTCTCATGAAGTGATATTATGCTGCTTCTAAGCCAAACCCTAACTACAGCTGAAAAATAGGCAGTTCTGCCAACAACAGAGAATTCTGGAGATGAGCATTATTTCTCCTATAATAGGCCAAAAGAGAAAAGAAAAAAAATAGGTAAGACGAAGAAATAGGGGAAACACTATTCCCAATAGGAAGGGAAGCAGGACCTCTTGACAACCCTAACTAAACCCCCAGACTTTTCTATGATGTTTTTTCCTCTTTCATGGTTTAAAATGGTACTTT